TGATAGCAATATTTCGTAATTGTAAATTTGATTTTACTATGGTTCTCATTAATAGAATTTGAATTCTAATCAAGAATACCATATTTACTATGAAAAAAGGAATAAAATAACCTGCGATTTCTCGTCAATAGATTTATTCAATGAGAAAAAATATATATCTAATGGTTATATTTAGAATTTTTCTTAGTGTGCAACAATGTTTTATAATAGTAAGAATAAATGATCGATGACATTTAATATAGTGTCTAATGCATGTGAAATCCATTAATATCATGAGACAGATCAAATTATTTTTTTTAGTTCTTTTAAAATGTCAATCCTGGACGCATTGCTGATAAAAAACAACACTCATCTAAATCGGTCTGTTGATATGCGTGCACATTATTTCTTCAAGAATTCTATCTCAAATCAAATGTATGCAGGTAAGATGAGATAATATTGTCATGTTTATAGCAAGCCATATAAAATAGTTGAGAGCGTATTCATAAACATTGAATTTTCATTATTATTATTATTTTCTCTTATGTTGGCTGTGGCAGATTTTTTTTCTTACGATGAATTTCTTTAAACTGATCAATCTCTTTTAAGTCTTGATTGTACGCATTATGTGCACTCTAATAAGATATGAATAGTTTGAAAAGAATTCGGACATTTAAGTTATTAGTGCTGAGATGCTGAATTTCTACGTTATTTTTTAGATTAAAGTCATGATTATCCTCAGGAGGAATATCAGGAAGAGTGATTTTCGACTTGAAATTTCGCATAGAGATAAACCTAAACAAGAATAGTTTATTGTGAAAATTTTAGATTTTTTCGCTGTTCCTATTTTCATGTACGGCTATAATTGCAGCGTAGCTTTTACATAGTTCATAGTGTGCATCAGTCGATTCGATATTCTTATATCATAGTAGAAGCTAAATCAAACATGCTGAGACTTTTACGATACACTATTCTCGGTAAAATTCCTTCCCGTGCTAAGGGTCAAGTCGATATTTGCAGATCAATTTTCTCGTGTTCCTCTGAAGAGAAATCAAGCCATTGAGTTACAAAATACCATAAAAATACAGTGTCTTCACATTAATAACCAAAGAATCGAAACCATATTCAAATTATTTATAGCTCATCAGGATCTACATAATGCACATAGTTCCGACACAAAATTTATTAATACACAGATGAACTTCCTCTTCGATAACTTTTTTGCTTTCATATTGACTAAGCATCTATCTCGAAGAAAGTACAGATGTCGTCGTCATTCTATTTTTCTTATGACATTTGTGTTTTCTTTTTCTCTTCCTTTACATCGAATCAACTTTTACCTTTCTGTTGGTATTTATTTGATAGCATCCACACGGCCTTGTATGCTTTGTCATTTTTTCTATTGATGATGTAGGTATAAATAGAAAAATTATGACGAAGAAATCGAAAAAATTCGACGCAAATTTTTAAATATTTTAGATAAAAAATGTCGAATAAAGGATTGATTGTTATTACTGGTGCAAGTTCAGGAATAGGTGGAGCAACAGCACAGGCTTTTTCTAAAGCTGGTCATCCTTTATTATTATTAGCTCGACGTCTCGATCGTTTAGAAGCATTAAAATTACCGAATACAATTTGTGAAAAAGTTGATGTTACTAATCGAGATGAAATTAAATCGGCTATAACAAAAGCAGAACAGAAATTTGGCCCAGTTGATTGTCTTGTCAATAATGCTGGTGTTATGCTATTAGGTTTAGCTGATACACAAGATCCAAAAGAATGGGAACAAATGGTACAAGTAAATATTATGGGTGTTCTCAATGGTATACATGTTGTTTTAGCAGGAATGAAAGAACGTCGTCATGGAACAATAATTAATGTTAGTTCCGTTGCTGGACGTAAAACATATTCTAATCATGCTGTTTATTGTGGTACTAAATCTGCTGTTCATGCTTTTACAGAACAAATTCGAGAAGAAGCAGCATCGTATGATGTTCGTTTTACTACAATTGCGCCAGGTGTTGTTGATACGGAACTTTTATCACATACGACATCAAAACAAATTGTTGATGATTATCAAGAATGGAAAAAAACAATGGGTCAACCTTTACAAAGTGAAGATGTAGCTAATTCAATTTTATTTGCATATCAACAACCACAACGTATTTGTATTCGAGAAATTGTTCTCTGTCCAACACGACAAGACAAGTAATTTTTTTTTCAAACAGAACTATTTTTGTCTGGTAAAATGATTTATTCCTTAAACAAATAAAAACTACTATAAAGAGTTAAATTCGACTTATTTATATGCAATGCTTTTTTAATTCCGAAATTGCAAAGTTCATAGAAATATAAACTGCATTAAACCCAAGGCAAAGTCTTTATTAGTGAACACCTTCCATTTTAAATAAGATCTTGTTCTCACGAAGCGTTTTTTTCAGAAAATGTATCTTTCATAGGTGAACACCAGAGCTGGCAACAGGTCATTTTTTTCTAGCCAACAAGTCAAACCAGACTGATTCACGTTCCTGATTTTTCGAATACATTTAATTTTATAACTGTGTGTTAATCTATTATTCTAGTTTCTGTTATTCACTTGATTCATTTTTATAAAAACAATATAATAGCAAGCTTTTGGACGAATAGCGCATTAAACCTAGATGACATTGGAGTCTTATTCAAGTGAGAAATGCGATGCGAAGTTTTCAATGATGATTGACGGCTAAATCAACTTTTTCTGAAAAACGAATAATCGTTTGGACCATTGAATATGAAAATTTTTCCTTCAAAAGATTACCACACTTTACTTGGAACCAGAGCTTCTTTTTTGTTGCTGTAAATCAGAAAATTTACGATTCGATCGATCGGATGATCAAAGTCAGAAAGAAACGGTGATGTAGCTAATGCGAACTTCATTACTAAGAGAACTCTATTAACAGATATAAACATGATTTTTAAGAATACTATCACTTGATCGGTTAATTTTTCTTTTTGATTCATTATCTGTCATCAGGTGTGTCACTAATAAACAAAGAGAGTAGCGGCTAACTTTTGTTGTTTCGTTCGTTTTAATATCCTCTAAGCTTGAAAAAAAAAATTTCACAAAAAGTTTCCTTTTCGAGTAGTTTTCTGTAAGCAAATGAAATGTTATATTAAAGATCAGAAACGGATGTTATCGATTCGATCATAAGATTATATTCTCGTGTATGAACAAGTCTTGTCTGGCTTCAATTTTGTTAAGATCATTGCAATAGAAAATGGCAACTTTTGACGTCTACGTCAAGAAAGAAGGAAAGAAAAGCTAAATGGTATTCAAGCTTCATTCGAATACGAAATGCGGTGCGAAGCACGAGTCTCAAGTTTCAGGAAAAAATGGATATCTCGTCAAAGACAAATAATCGGTTTTACGATTAATCAGAAATCACTTTTTTATGATCTTTACGTTTTACTGGAATCACCGTTTTCTGACATGCAAGTTCTAAAATCTGCGTTTCGACCTATTAGCTAATAGAAGGAGAAAAGTAGATATGGCAAAATTCATCATTACGAGAACTCCATTAAAGTGCATAAACATATTTCTAACAAACGATGTCAATTGATCATTTAATTATCTACATAATACATTATCTATCACCAGCTGTATTCACCACTGTTAATTGTCTTGAAACGCGAAAAACGACGACATCCTCAAAAATTTGTCATTTCGTAGCTAGATTTATAATCAAACGGAACCTTCTGGGAAAGATTTGAATAAAAATGGTATAGATTCAGCCTCGATGTTTTCAGCTCGTATTTGAACTAGGTTTTTGTGAACTTCTGTTTTCGAGACTATTACGATACAAAATAGGAAACATTGATGTAAAGAACGACATTATCGCTTTTCCATCATACAGTTCGAATAGTTAAAAAAAGATGCCAGCAACTGCTCATTGATTAATTGTTTTTACTGCTGCCGATAATTGATCATTGCTAAGATCAATGCCCAGTTTCAGTTCATTTTATCGCTATAATGAAAACCAAATCCATGGATTATTTATAATATCCGGATTTTACTTTGGGCGAAAGAAACATCAAACAAAGAAATCGGATAAAATTTGTACTAGAT